TTGACTTTGAGAATGATGTATGTGTGTGCTACTCAAAATGAAAAAAGTTACTATTTATTCTCTCCCCAAAATGCAGTACCCTGAGAAGTCATGGCCATTCCAAGTTTTCCTTAATCTGGAAGTCTGACTTTAGTCCTCGCCTCATTTTGAAAAGTATTTTATAAAGACAAACCCAGTAACATTCTTCACTAGTCCTCCTTCCCCCTGGTTACCTCTTGGTTTCTGACGCCATTTAGCACGTCCTCCTTCCTGGTACCCCTCCCACCCCACCCCTCTCCTGGATCTCTAATTGCTCCACTTTTCGCTCCTTTCCCTCTTCCTTCTGTTATTCCATCCTCCTCGTTCTACCACCACTTCATTGTGAGCCTGCCAGGATCCTTGGTTTCTCTCTCCTGACATCCTTTCTCTTAGGGAGCTTGTCCACTTCTACCATCTTAATTATCAATTTATGTGACAATTCCCAAAACTGTATTTCCACCCTGATCTCTTTGCTAAATATTAGGAGCTTCTCTCTAACTGTGCTATTTCCAACTGGGCCTAAATTCAACTCATCTAGCACTAAACATGTCTTCTTCTCTCCCACTGCTATCTCCTAACCCACCTGTTCTCGGATTCACAACAGCTGGCTTCATTCTCCAGCATCCTGGCTCACAACCCCACAGGTGTTCTTGGACACAATAATTGAGGGCACAAGTTAGGGCAGTAAATCTACCAGTCACTAAGTCCTGTTCGTGACTCCACTGCTCCTTTTCCTTGGCCACAACATTGGTTTGGATATTATCATCTCAGACCTGGATGATTGCAGCGATCTCCTCAATGGACTCTCTCCCTCCTTTCTTTCCTGCACAATAACCCAACATACCACCAGCTGATTAAGTTGTCTAGAGCACTCTTTTCATAGATTGCTACTATACCACATTCAGATACTTTAGAGCGTCTCAAATGGCATGGGAATATTTGGGCCAATTCACCTGGCAAGCATGACCACCACGACCTAATGTAACCCCAGATGTGTCACATTTTTCTTGCATAACAGTTGGATACAGAACAGGCTGACCCACTCACAAATTTACATTGTACCTTCCTTTGCAAAATATGTCATAAATACTACTAATAAATATTGGTTGAATGGGTTGCTCACTTTCAGCTTTTTCTCATACTCTTCTTGGTAACCGGAATTCTCTATGCCTCCTTGCTGAGTCTCACCTGACTTATCATTTCAGGTTCTGCTCACTCAGTAAGAACAATCACCATCGCTTATCAAGCCCTTGCTGTGTGTCGGGCATTAGGCTAGCACTCTGCCTGCACAAGGCTCATTTCATGCTTACAATCCTATATTGTTAGAGCTATCATCCCCACTTTACCGAAGATGAAACTGAGGTTTGGGTAAATTAAATAACATATGCAGGTCACACAGTAAGTAGCTGAGTCAGCTGCCAAATCCTGAACCCTCCACCTTTATAGCATGCTGCTGCTTTTCCGGTCTTCCCCAGAGATATATCCTTCCCCCGAATATACTGCATTTCTCTTCTCAGATGCAACTCCAGCCCTGCCATGTGGATCTCTCTGCAGTACTGTTGTGGTTTTTATAACACAGCATGGTCATTAGGTGCATGGACTCAAGTCAGACTGTCTGAGCTAGAATCTTGACTCTACTCTTTGCTAGTATTGTGTGTCTCATGCAACTTAAAATTGTGTCCCTGCATCTATAAAATGGGGATTGTAACAGCACTTGAGACATAGGATGACTGAGATAATTAAATGAGTTAATCTTGTAGAGTACTGAGCACAGAGTAAGCACTCAATAATTATTATGTTATTAAAATGTTCAATACCTGTGCCATGCCTCCTATTAAGAATATAAGCTAATTAAAGGAAAGGATTCTTAGCCTTTTTAATTCTACAGTCCTTAGCAAGTCTCTCCAGTAAAGGTGCCTCTTCTAAGCTGTGATTGTAAAGATTTCACTGTTGTATTTACTTTTTAGGAAATAGGCAAGATTCTAAATATTCTAACCCTCACAGCCAGAGTCATACGATGTGGGCTGAAATGCTGAGCTGGTAAATGACTCATGAGTTCATAACATAGCCACAGCAACACAGATATTTAACTCAGCAAGCCTATCTTGCAGCACCTAGTCTGTGCCAAAACACACTGGCTCAGGGGGAAACTCAGAGAAGCCGAGAGAACCCCTCCCGGTGCTTCCACGAAGGAGGCAAAAATTACACCAATGAACCATACTAACTTAAACTACATCAAGAAATGTTAGGGTGGAAAGATTCTAGGGGCACATTTTATGATTAAAAAACAGCCCTGATTGATTGTCTATCCATATTTAAATCAATTCAGAAAGTGGCAGATCAGCAAAGCACAATTAATATTTCTTTTCCCCTTTTTTCTTGGAAGTGGGACAAAACTTGTTAAAGTGAGATCAAGTAAAATCTATAACCTCCATAGTCATTTGGCACTAGAAAAGCACATCCTGTTTACCTAGAACATTTAATCTGATTTTGTAAAATCCTCAAGTAGGAGCCAATGCATCTGCAGTGAAGTCAGTAGGATTGTTCCAGTTTAAACTCGAAAGGCACGGCCATCCTTGGTCAGGGGAGCTGGAAAATTCATTTCTCACATGCAATTGTGAGATGTGTCTGCTCCTTTCATAAACAGCAGCAACTAGAATCCTAGTACACGCTGCTCATAGCTGCTGGCACTTCTGGCCCCAACTTGTGGGCCACATGAACAGGTATTGTTTCTGCTTCTCAATTAGGCCATTTTATCTCCTACAGTTAAGACTCAGTGGTTCTCAACTCTGGCTGCATAAAAGAATCAGTTCAGAGATTAAAGTATATAAATCCATTTTCATGCCCCTTCCCTAGATAGTCAGATTCAGTTGCTCCAGGGAAGTTCCTGGGCATTGTTCTTTTTGGAGAGTTCAGTTTCTGCAGTGATACATATAGATACCAGGTGTTAAAATCTGATAAAATCTGGACCTGGCAATAGTTTGATGAAGCCACAGTTTCCCAGCAAAACTGAAGTCTGTGTTGCTACAAACCTGCCAGAATCCAGCCAATCACATTAATTCTCTCTTCCACAGGACTTTTATCCTCATATCGCTGACCAAGGATGGGGCTACAAAACCAGAGATCTGGATTTCTTCTTATCTCAAGTGTCCCAGAAAGATTCCTTGTATGTCACTGGGCAAACAACCTCCAAACCTCTCATGTTTTTATTCCATAAAATGGGAACAAGTTACCTGTTATACGTGTGATATAGTGAAAGAAGAGGAAATCTCTATCTAGGGCTAGACCTATGCAATAAGGTGAAGTGATTAATCATATTAGCCAGGGATTGGGAGAAGCACCAGGCAGGCAAATTTAACAGGAGGGTCAAAAAAGCACCACTGATTGTCCAAAACAGGCAGGGCCAAGTGACCCTTGAGTTTGGGGTAGACAAAGCTTGATAAGGACAAGAGAATACTAAAAAGCAACTGAAAGTATGAGATAATTATCCTTGGATTTGGCATTGCTTATTTGTACTTTCTTTCCATGAGCCATATCAACTTGTTCATACTGATATTTTTTATTCACTTGTCTCATAACAATCTACAGGGTAAAGAGGGATAAAAGGCCCCCTTTTTTCAAAAAAATAAAAGAGATAAAAATAAATCCATATATTAAACCCATTTATTATTCATTAAATGAAAAAGGAGTGTCTCCCATCCTCACCTTATCTTCCCTGAGCCAACCACTTAATCTAAGGATCTATCTATCTGTCTATCAATTTATCTATCCATTTAATTTTCTTTTCTTTGATTTTTTCCCCCTTTCATTTCCAGAACAAGCCTGCCTTTGATAATTTTCAAGAGAGAAGCCCAAACCTCAAGCTGGCAAATTTAGAGTTTAATCCATGGGAAGTTGCTATTAACATTATTAATTGCCAAAGCCAAAGTCAACACAAAATAATAATGGTAAAAATGAGTAAAGCTTTTTCAGACTTTTCTAAGTGTTAAAAGAGTTTTTCATACTCCCCATGTTTCAGTTTATCTTTCCAGTGAGAAGAAGGTATTTTTAAGGATCAATACATAAATTTGACATTGTAAAATTTATTGTACTCCTATGCCCTAAACTCTGGGAAAAGAGAAGAAAAAGTCATTTAACTGGTAAAATACACAGCAAACTATTGATGGATTAATTTGGGGGATGGGGAAAAAGCAATGCATATTGGGGATGGGGAGCTTGAAAAACTGTTGGAGATCTTCTGTTAGAGTACAGACACATTCATGTACTACTTGTATAAATCAAAAATAAAAGACCAAAAACATTAGCCCTTTATGAAAGGAAAAACAGAGCTGCAGTGAAGTGGTATGCCCTGGCATTCTACAATGTTTAGGAAAACATGGTTTAAACAAGCCACACATCAGAGAACTTTTCTTCCCTTCCGGAAAGCTCAAGGCAGGCCTACCCAGCTCTTAATCCCAGCACTTCTGACTTCCTTCCCTGTGCTGACTCTGAACCCCTGTCCCCTCAAGCAATGGGTGGGAGGTACCCGCAGACGTTTTACATTTCAGAGACCATCCCTGGCCCTGGGGTGAGTTGACCGAATATCCCAAGCTCTGGCTGTAACACCGGTGCAAGCACCCCATGGAGACGCTCATGGAGCGATTCATGAACGCTCTGGTCTTTACGCTATTTTCTGGCTCAGAGACAGGAAGATTCATTAACAAAAAAAAGGAGGAGGAGAAAACTCTATTATAGAGAAAATCCTAAAAAGATCCCAGTTAATTTCCTGATACTCAATCTCCCTAACCAGTCCAATGGGCTGCACAGTGCTCTTGACCACACATGATTTATGCTCCCAACATTCATGCGACAGCTGCACATATACCATAAAACAGAAAATCAGACAAAGAAGTAAGTAACTGGAAGATGCCTTAAAAAGGAGTGCCAAAGTGACTGAGATCTTGCTGCAAAGGGAGACAGACCACACGAGAAATTCATGTTACCTGTCCAGCGCCGAAGTCCCCAGACGGGCTCCTGCTATAACCAGACTCCTAGAAGCTTTCAGATCTCCCCTACGAGGCCATTTGCCCGTCAGTCTCCTCGAAGGCCTCACACCCGCTGAAGAAAGAGCCAAGCAGGACTCATTGCAAGGCGTGGGCAGCTCCCCTCCCAGCTCGGTGTCCCTCCTGACCGGTGCCTCCCTGCTCTGGTCCTCCGAGCCTCACAGAGCCATTCCTGAGAGCCTGCTGTTTAGAAAACAAGAAGTGATTTCCTGGTCTTTTCCCCGGATGGCGTGTGTGATTTCCCTCACGCCCATGGGAAGTCCTTCAGATCCTTCTTATCTGGAAACCTCTCCACTGAGTGGCCGGCCTTGTTTGGCCAATGTCCCTACTTCTTGCTTTCCTTTCTCCAAAGAAAAAAACCCAGAAAACTGAAACCAAAGCAACCCAAATGGGTTACAGCTAATGATGGGTGTAGATGCTTTGTTGGAACCTTGGAAAGATGTCTGCCTAATTAGACTGTGATTTCAGAGGGGAAAGAAAATTAAAATTATCGATGAGTTTCTTGTCCCTAGAAGTGCCTAAAAGTCAGAGAATAAAAAACTCCCAAGACTATGGGGAGATCAGAAGTGGCTTAATCCCAGCCCAGGGCTTTAGGGACAGCTAAACTTCCAAAATGCTACATGAAAGGACAACTAGTACTTCCAGATTTCCAGAGAAGCTCCATGAAAATTTGTGCATCAAAGCATAAACTGTGTGATACTTAAAATATCATCTTGATAACGTTAATATATGAAGATAAGAAGGTCCATGGAAAAGGGCCAGTTGGTAGGCTGCAGTCATGTATTTAGGATTCAAGATGAATTCTAATTGGACTTCTTGAACTGGAAGTGACCTAATCATCCTCATTTTACAAGTGAGGAAATTGAGGCCAAAGGAGGAACAAGGACTTATCCAAAGTCAGAACACAGATAGGAAGTCATAGATTGCCATCCCTTGTTCTTAAACTTCAATATGGGAAGTTTCAGTAGGGGAATGCTGTTCAATTGCCTGCCCTTGAGCCTTGTCCACAGAAAGTTTGAACAATGAGGTCTGACCTGGAGCTGGGAATCTGCATTGTAAGTAAGTGTTCCAGGTGGTTCTTATGCAGATAGTCCCTGGACTATACGTAGAGAAGCCAGCATGGTGACAAAGCAAGGACATCAGAATCAGACTGCAGGGATTCAAACCACAGTCCCACCGACTTCCCCTGGCTGAGGCTCAGTTTTGCTGTGTACGAAAGTGGATAATAATACTGCTGAGCTTACAGGTGCCATTGAGAGCTTGACGCAGAGGAAGAGCTCAGGAACTGTCTATTAATATCTGGAGACCTGGGTTCTGCTCCTCTAAGCTCTTAAGTCATCCCTGTTCCACACCGTCTCCCTCTCTCCTTGCTTGTCTTCCCTTCTGACTGAAGCTATCACCCTTAGATATGTCAGCAACCACCAATAGAACTCAGGCTTGAGATAAAAGTTAAGTACTTTGATAAAAAGAGGATGAACCTTCAAAATTTTCTTTTACTTCTTGGTACTGATTAGCCCTTTACAAAAGAAAAAACTGAGCTGCAGTGAAGTGATGTGGCCTACTCCATGCACTTATTGGGAGGGAGACAATGGTTGTTGTCCAACCACAGTTGACCCTCTTTGCTGTCATCCCAGGTATGGCTGGGAAACCCACTAGTGTAACTAGTCTATGAGCTGAGGGGATGAATGGAGATTGGCATAAAGCATGGTGATCTCATTCTCCTTGGATGACACTGGGGTAAGTTTAGACATGTGGCTGATTGTGGATGCACATACCTCTTGATTTACTGTTAGTGGCACAATAAAGCTTCTTGTTATTATTCCAGCTCCAGTTGGGTTTTCTGTTGTTTGTGAAAAGCCACTGTAATAAAGTGGTGAACCACTACAAGAAATAAATCTTTTGATTCTATATAAGATACTACCCTTGGCCTAAAAAAAAGTAGGAAAAAAATCAAAACATGCACACAGAGCCAAATAACTTAAATTGTATTCTAAAATATTCCAAATTAATTTCTTATGCTAAATATATGTGGTTTTGACTTGTTCTATAGGAAATGGACTAAAATACTCCAGATTTTTTCTTACACTAAAAACACATAATATTAAATATAAGTACTAGAAAAGCACCTGGGCCCTGAAAACCCAGAGCAGCGTGGGGGTTAAGAGTAGCAGTAGACTCTAGATGGACCAAATGGTAGCTCTGTGGACACTTAGATTATTTAATATTTCTGGACCTCAGTATCCTTACTCATAAAATAATAATAATACCTACCTCAGGGTTGTCTTCAAGAGTAAATACATTAAGTACATATAAAAAAATGCTTAGAACGGTGCTTGGCATATAGTGAGCATGTGTGTTAGTGATTGTTATTTTTGCAGAGAAACTTCTGCAAAATAGTTGCATATGATTTTGCATATGGTTTTTATAATAGTTGTATATGGTTTTGGTGTTGTCTTTCCTTTTGTGTGTGTGTGTGCGCGCACTAGCTTTGTCTCAGGTGCAGCATGAATTGATTGTCACGTTGCAGATGCTTCCAAAATATATCTTATTCTCTCTGTTGTGAGATTTGGTTCTTTTGGCGGTAACTTCAGTGGATTGGTATAAATGTGGACAAGTTCTGGCAGCTGTGCTGGGGAGGAATGAAGAAAATGTAGGAAGAAAATGACGTTGCCATTAACATGATTGTCAAGGACACAAAAAGAACTTTGCAGGCTGACAGCTTTGGGAAGTAAATGTCTGGAGGCAAAGATAGCCCACAACTGAAGAAAGGGAAACTGCAGACCTTGATACTTACAAAAAGATGAACAAGTGGAGGAACCTGACTTGGACACATCTTGCCTTAAGAAATACCTTGCTGTCAGAGTAGCTCCTGGGTCAAGCCTTCTTTTACAGCTGTGCTTTTTTCCCTTCTTGCTTTGGGTAGTCAGGTGCGGCTGGCTCTCTAACATGGAAAGGGGCGTTGTCAAGGTGACTGCCCGTCTGCTTCCCTGAGGAGCAATTTCTCTCACCCACAGTCCCATTTGTTGCTAGGAACACCCGGTGCTTGTTGCACTCACGTTACAATGAAATCAAAGACCAATAAAAAATGGAACCACCGTATGGTCTTGGCTGCAACTCGAAATTAACTGCTGATGGAGAGACTTTGTTCTGTCACAGCTACACATCACATGGTCTGTGACAGAGGTCTTTCCCTTGCATTTTAAGCTGTTGAAATTGGTGGCAAGTTGACCCCAAACTTCTTTGACCAGACTGCAGTGGTGTAGCCAGAGTAACTAACTTGTCAACTGTGTTATCTCTGTGTTTGGATGAAGTACCCCTTAGGACTCGAAGGCAGTGTTATTTTCATAGGCAGGGATGTCAGCACCAAATAAATGTGTATTTCTCAGCATGTTCCAGACTGTTTTACCCTTCTCTCCTTCCCCCTTCTTCAACTAGCTAACTTTTGATGAATCCTTAAATTGCAAGTATTATTTCCTCTAAGGACCCTCGTAGCCCTCCCAGCCTGGGAGTTCTTTTTCCCTGGTTCCATACTACCAGGTGCATGTTTTTTTGCAGTTACCATGCTGCATTCCAATGATTCTTTTAATACATTGACTGTGAGCTCCTTGAGGGCAGGGACTAGTCTCATTTGTTGTAAACCCAGCTCCTAGCCTAGTGCTGGTATATGGCAGGTCATCAATAAAGAAAGACAAAATGAAATTGATCCATCTTACTTCATTGCTGGTTCATCCTCTCAAAGTCAAAATGTCCCACAGCTCGGTCACTGGAACTCTTTGTTTACACTCATTCCCCAGGTGATCTCTATGAGTTCCATGGTTTAAATCCTTGAGCTGATGACCTCCAAATGCTTATTTCTATCATGGACCTTTCACCTGAATTCCTGGCCCATATAACCAACCCCCTACTTAATACCTCCACTTAGATGCTCAATATGATCTCACACTGATCATGCTCAAAATTAAACCTCTAATTTTCCCTCCCAAACTATTCTAATAGTCTCTCCCATCTTAGTAAATGGTGTCTTCATCCTTCCAGGTTACTCAGACCAAATGCTGAGTCATCTTTGAGTCTTCCCTTGCACACTTTATGTTTAATTTGCCATTAAATCTTGTTACTTCAAAATATATGTGTATTTGGGCACCTCTCACCTCTTCCTCTGCTATCATTCTCATTCAAGCCATCACGATCTCTTGACTAGAATGTTAGTCAATATTGCCTCTATATGATCTCTGGGCAAGACTGCAGCTGGATGGTCCTCATAAAACATGTTATATAATGTCCACCACCTATGCTCAACCTTTGGCACTCCCATCTCACACAGTCAGGGTGAAAACCCTTTCAATGGCCTGTAAGCCCAGCACCATCCATCCCATCGGCATCCCTGCTCCTCCTACCATTTCTTCCCTTAATTCCTCTCTTACTTCCCTCCCCCTCACTCATAGCACTCCAGTGTGCTGACCTCCTACTAAGCCAAGCACAGGTTCAGCTCAGAGGATTCACACTTCGCTTTTCTCTCTGACTGGAAAGCTCTTTGCCCAGATATCTTTGTGTCTCAACCCCTACCTCTTTCCCACCTTTGCCCAAATATCTCTTTCTTAGTAAGGACTTAGCTGATGGTCATATTACACATTTCAGTCCTCTCCTTTTCCTTGATTATTTTTTTCCATATCATATACCACCTCCAATATACTATAATGTACTTATTTATTTTGTTTATTGGCTATCTACACTTTCCATACCCCACTGGAATATAAGCTCTCTGAGGGCAGAGATGCCTATTTGAGGCACTAATGAAGAGAATTTGGAGTGCAACACACAAGCAAAATTATGAATGCCACAGTATTAGCATATAAGGAGCAGCAGTATATGCAAAACTACATAATGGTTCACTCTCAAAGCACTCTGACCTCTACATATTGGAAGGTTAATTACCTTTTTTTTTTTTTAATCCACAACCAGATGTTGGTAACCCTTTTGACCCAAAGTGGCCCAGGGTAAGCTCTCTTTTTGTATTTCTATTTTGAAGCCATCAAAATTACCCTCTGACACTGACCAGTCCTTATGCAAGGAAGGAACCGACAAATAATTGGGCAGTTTTGTAGTATACAAATGATCTTATTCTTATCTTTTGTGTGTATATCTTGGCAGAGTCTCTACTAATTGAAGTTGGTCATACTTGTGCTCAGCTGCAGGCTCTCTAGTTTTATTTGTACTTGCTGTCACTGGGCTCATTCCACCCACAGACAGTTATTATACCTTGTTTTTGTACATGTCTTTCAGATAATCGTGTTATTTTGCTATGGAAGATCCCAAAGCTTCCATCTTTGGAACCAGCTAAATACAGTTGACAGCCGCATTCTACCCACCTTCTTATGCCTCCAGTGACAGTCCCAGCTTTGGGCAGAAACCCAAAACATCCTCCATGTGGAATTCTGCCTGTTTGGACTCTACCCCGAGCATTATATTCCCTGCCTTT